TTGTCATTTTTTTCTGTTTTCATCAATTCCACAATATAATTGCTATTTTTCCTAAGTTTGATTGGAGATTTGTGGTGAAGTCTTGTTGAAATTCAAATTTTGAAAAGATTTGCTTGATATCTACAAGGGTTTTCTATCATATTCATGAACTACAATCACTTCAATAGTATCAGATTCAAGCATTTAGGAATTTGATATTGGTGTGGGTTTGGCAAACTTTAGAGGAGATACTAATTATTTTTCTAAGAAAAAATTAATCACAAGTGTTGCAGTCCTAACAAAAGAATAGTTGCAATATTTCTTGATATACAATGCTCTATATAAAGCCTCAAATAGTGTTTTTTGTTGAATTGCAGCTTTATCCATCTTTAATTTCTCATATTTAATTTCTCACATAAGGGCCCTTAAAGAAATGTATAATGATAATATAATAATTTAGAGGCAAAAACTATTTGGCTACAAGACCACCTTATATAATATTCAAACATACAAAAATAATCTTGTTAATAATTATTAAATTGATAATGTCATTATTTTCTAAATTTATTGAAAGTCAAATATTACTCTTTCAGTTTATGTTTCATATCAAACAATATAGAATTAGGAACAACACTTATCAATAATATTGAGCATGTCTTATTAATTTTATTTTAGCAAAATCAACTCTTTGGGAATATATATTGCAACATCTGAAGAAATCTTCCAAGATATCAAAACCAATTTGAAATCACAAAAGATTGTATCTTCCATCGAAAATAGGAATATAATTCTACACCATATGAAAATCTCACTGTAGTTATTTAGAATAAATTTTATCCAAATTTATTTAAATTTTAAACTACATATTATTATTTCATTGATTGGACAATTTATCATATTTTAATTCTTTTTGACATGATGATGCAACTTTATGCTCTAATGTGAAATATAATACGTGAGATTTTATGGTTTCTTAGCAAAATTATGTATGAAATGCACAAAATTTAGCGAACAAAATAAAAATTTGTAATCACAAATCACCAATTCAAATGAGTATTGATCTCTTTTGATGAACATAAAAAAATACGTAATATTAGTGCAAATGATAATTTAATGGTTTCCTGATAAAAATTTAGCTAAAAAAAATTGGGATTGATAGAAATCTCAAATCGATTGAAAATACACTGCAATAAGAAAATCTATATTATATGTGTTTTAACCAAATCTAATCACACAAGTAAACCAATAACTAAAAATACGTAATATAAAAAGATCAAGGAATAAACCACCAAATTAGTAACACAGTCCTCATGCTAATGAAGAAGATGGCTTCCTTAGGAAGTTAGTAGTCACCACTTGTACCTCCCTTGATAGATTTGCATCCAACTAGCACTAAAGTACAAAAACGAAGCAAAACATTCAAAAGAAATTATTATCAAAATTGTTTTACATGCAACATTGATGGGGACATCAGCGCATGGAAGGTTTATCAGAGGCGTGGCCGCCGATCTACAGCCACGATCGAGTTGTTGTACTTCTGAGTTATTTTCGTATTTATGTATTTTTCTATTTCAGTGTTATGTCATTGTTTTCCAGTTATACCCTTTTAGTTTGTGATGTCGTTTTGTAAGCCCGAAGGGCAATTGTCTTTTGTTTTCATGCTTCTCTTGTACTAGGCTATATATATAGCCTGTTGTTGTATTTTCATATTAATGAATGATTATGAGAAAATTTTCCTGCATTTGTTTTCTTGGAGCTTATGAGAGAGCTTGAGAAAAAGAGTTAGAGAGCTTAGTGGAGCCTAGGAAAGTCCACCCGTTGTACCCAACAGTCACCACCAGCCACCCTCTTCCCCTTTGGTTTCCTAAATTAGGTTAAGATTAATTAGGAATAATTTTGAAATTCAAATCCCTTCAAGTTTGAATTCAAAATCTTTCCTAAGTTAGTTATCCTATTTTAGGAAAGTACCTAATTTAAATCAAATTTTTAATTTTTAATTCATGAGGATTTAAATTAAAACTTTCCTAAAACCAAACTTAAATTAGGAAGTCAGTAATTACCCTCATGACTTGGCTCTTGCCCATGCATGCCGCCGGCCTCCCCTCTCTCCTAGCCCATTAATGCTCCCTCATTATTTCCTAAACCCAAGTCTATCTTTAGGAAATATTTCTAAATCCTATTTCCCCCCCCCCTACTTGGCCGAAAATTCCATCTCCTATAATTCCTCAAATTATTTCCTAAGAGCTTGATTAGGAATCAATTTCCCCTCCCCTCATTAGACCGCCGGCCCCTCTCTCTCCCTTAACCGCCTCCCCTCTCTCTCCAATCCCCTCTCTCCCCTCTTTAATACCTCAATTGAATTGAGGCTAAAATTCTCCCTCCAATTTCCCTACCACCTAAACTTAGAAAATCTGAAATTCTTCTCAGGTTTGTCTCAAAATCTGAAACTGTTTTCAGGTTTTTGAAAAGGGGACTTAGAGCTTGCTTCCTCTCCTCTTGCAAAGAGAAACTTCTTTCTCTTCGCTACCACTCAAGAGGCGTATCAAGTATTAAGGGGATCTTGTCTTCCACTGCCCATGAATGGCGGATCCGGAGACTGACTATGGAATAACATGGGACGAGGACGGCTTCACCGACATCCTACAATCCACCTTCTTCGACTTGAATCCAAGGATTGATCACACCGTCGAGGACTACTTGGAGCGTATTATGGACACCTTAGTGGAAGCAATTGACGAGCACTTCGAAGGTGTCGAGTGGAGGATCTCCACCACTCCTTGACGAAGGTTTCTCTTTCTCCTTTCATTAGATTTCCTAAATCTAACTTCTCTTGGGATTGATGATAGTCACGACGGACAACTCTCTACTGCTCATGCTAAAGCTTAGTAAATGTAGGATTTGAGTGCGCCTTTATGCTTATTAGCTCTTATTGTTAGATTAGGAATTCCATTGCAACTATTACTTGTTATTGTGTTATTTTCTGAATTTATTTTGACGGCTTCTAATCTTTTGCTACGTAATTTAGCCTAAGCGGGTGTGACCCCTTATTTGTTTTGATCTGTCATTTTAAACTGCTATGAGGTTTGTTCCATGATTATTCTAATCAAGAGTTGTGCAAAGTCTAAATGAACTAAAGCATTTCATACTTAGTCCTGCATCAAACATATATTGCTTATTTATCATCACAGCTTTCCTTATAGGATTAGTTAGTTCACTGTTGAAATATCGTCGAAACACTCACAGAAGTCGTCGTTCACACCAATTATGAAAAGGTTGTGCAAAGGAGGTGAAAAATGATCAAAATTCACAAGGAGGCAAAATTCCTGATCTAGAATAGTATTAAATAGCTGCTAAAGTACAAAATAAGGCTCAAGTCACTTACAAGCAAGCACAAACAAGGCAAAAATAGTCAAAACTGCTCATATCAATAAACATAGTGAACCATCAAAGCAATGAACATAAGCTTAACTGGGCCAAGGAAAATGAAAATCAAAGTAAAAAAAAATGTACCAAACCGAATCAGGGATCAAAGAGTTAAACTAACTCAAGTCAAACTAATATAGGGAACTGAATCAAACCAAAGTAGGTGAAAGAGTTCAAAACATTAGAGAACGCAACCATTTCTTATAAGAATCATCACATGAAATACAACTAAAATTGAAACCTAGAAATTAAAAAAATAGTAAAATAAAATCAACTAAAGTAATATCAAAACTTTATATCCATTTGTCCGTCTCAACACACATGTCATGTATTTGTAATGAGAATACATTGAGGCTTGCAACACCTAAAAAAAGACTAAGGATAGTCTAAAACTAAATGGGAAAGGATTTAGAATTGATGATTGATAGTCCTAAGTAGCCAAACTTGCTTGAGGTTAACTAATCAAAATTAGAGATGAATTGTCATGTAAATCTGAATGTCTTTACTCATTGGGAATATGAATCAAGTGTATTGATGATGTTTTATTTCTTAGCTTTTGTTTCCAAGTTAATTTTAGTACAAAACAGGCTTATGGTGATGATCCTCTCAAGATATAAGTCAGGTTCCTTTTAGTGGAGCAAATTCTAGATGTTATTGAAATTTTATTATTGCTCTCAGTTTTTATTATGAGATTTTAAATTTCAGTGCCTATACACTATTTTCTAGGATGAAATAAACATGATCGTTGTTTTTGTATCAATTCCAAAAGTTGAGACTTGATAACCTATGAATTGTTGTTTGTTTATGCTTCATTGTGTATCTCATCGTAGACTGCATTAGTAAATTTTATATACTTAAGGTGTTCTACATCAAATTGAAACTTTAGTATCTCAAATACTAATAAATCATAGAGAATAACTAAGATCAGAGAACTATCTGTTTTTCAAACCTTTTTTATTTTCTTTAGCTCCTTACAAAAGAACAAATACTTTTCACCATAAACAACTAGCTATGTAACAGTTATTTTATCACATGCAAACTTCGAAAATAAAGGACTGCAATGCTGAATATAAGACCCCAATGTAGTGCAGTATTCTCATACAAAGCAAAGTTAAAATAGATGAAATGCCTACAAAAAAAAAAGCTAGAGATACAAGCAGAAACTAAATGGGATTTGGATTTGGATTTAGAGGAACTAAAAGGGAAAAGGATTTATTGGATTCTTGAATAATCCAAAGTAACCAAACTTGTGGTTAACCAATCGAGAATTCAGATGAATTGACACATAAGTAAGGCTATCATGGAAATCACATACAACCGCAGAAGAACTAAGAAGACTTCAAAACCTGATTACATAAGCCTAGCATCCTATTGTAATCTAAATTGATGATTCAAGATTAAATCAATCTATAACTTATCATAGAATAATGTCAGAAAACATATTTATAAATCTCGAATGAATCTTTTGAACTATTAGCAACATAAGCAGCAACTAAGAATCTGAAAAATATAAGAGAAACTTCCAAAGAACAGAGAATGACTGACAGTAAACCAAACGATACTAGATAGAATCAGAACCACATGTCAAATGATAATACCTCTCTTCACAATTCCTCAAGACAGGAACAATTACAAGATTTTCCTAAAAAAAAAAACAAATGCATCAGCACTGTAGTACAAAAGTTGCAACCAGAACAAGAGAAAAGAGTTTCAAATAGACTATTTATAGACAAATACCTTTGAAGGAAGCTTGCGAATGGTCTGTTCTGAGTATCTTCTAGACAGAGCAGAACTTCGTCTGTCTGCAACATTATCAGAAATGAAAACAGTCCTCCCATGACCACGTCGCATAATACCTTGCGTTGCCTGTCTAATCACAAATTAGCAAGGAAAAGCTATATCAATTACTAGGATTGAGAATTTGCAAGTACAAAGCACCCTTAACATAATAGTTCGATTTATCTGAGAAGACATAGTGAACTTTGAAAGCACCTCAGCAAAAGCAACTATTCTACCTCTGACGATAGAAGACATAACCATTTCCTCATGTGAACCTTTGCAAGCATACTAAATGGATGTATCCAAGCGATTATATTTGAATGATTTAATGAAACAAGAAGGGTTTATTTTTATCTCAGTGGCTGAGGTTTCTCATATGAGCATGTCCCCATGGTTAATTATATCTTGGGCCTAACACCTGAAAAAAACTCCAAGTTTGAAGAAGGATATACTAGAAATAAGTTTGGAGATTAAGAGTTATAAAGATTATAAGTAACGAGCCAAGACTAATGAGTTTTTTAGGCGTAAGGACTGGGCAACATCAATATAGGTAAGGTCATAATCAATGGGGTTCTAAAGCTTTGAATGGACCATTCAATGTAGAGATGGTCATTAGGCTTTAGAATATGGTTTAGGGATGGTGGAGGGGCCTGAAGGGCATTGATAGGTTCTAAGATAAAATGTGTATAGTCATAGAGTTGTGGTCAAAGAAATCTAGAGCCCGGGTATTAAACCACTTTCTTCCTTAATGACGCGCCAAATTTAAAAAAATAAAGAGATACTCATAGCATGAGAGGATACTCTGGGAAATGGATGGTTCTTACAATTCCATTATAACCATGGATATGATTGTAGGAACTAGTCACAAGGCAAAAGATATCAAAGATGACGGGACTTATAATCTAAAACCTCAAATTAATCTGGATCATTAGAGCAACCTTGGACTACACCTCACGTATTGTTCAACAACAAAAGCTTCACAACTTAGTAAGTAGTGAATATAAATATGCATAATATTAAAGGAGTAAGAATTATATAAAAATAGATCAATTGTCTTGGAGAATAATAATGAGGCCCTTGACTCCTCAAATTACAGGGAGCACAAAAAAGGGATTAATAGTATTAGAAAGAGTACATGCACAAAAAACTAGAATTATTGGGGTCTTAAAACTTTGCAATAAATAGAACAACTGCTGAAACAAGACTCACAATATTATGAGGGTATGTACCTTGACATTTGAAACCAAGCTTACACCCACATTAACCAGAGAGAGGCCCATAATTGACACATAGTACCCAATTAATATATGCCTTCATGACATTATATACTTACATATAATAATGTAAACCATTGAAATACTATGCTTAACTGAGAGTGTTTCTTCCTACTTTACTAACCCAATGCCTTAAGTGGGTAACCCTCTTGCATGGACATTTTTAGATTTCAACATATACATGCCACTAAATTTCACATTGGAAATGTCATTCATTCCGAATCCGACATAATGATGAAACCAACATATATCTTTTTCAATATGGTATTCTATGAAAGTCCAAGAAAAAAATGACATGTATAGCATAAATTGAAATAATTACAAATTGATTGCTTTTTTAGATAAATGTATCAATTGAACACTAATTTTGATTATGAACAATAAGAAAAGTTTTTGTTCTTATGCATTAATAGTATCATTAGGTATTAAAAAATGCATGTAGTTAATAAAAAAAATGCATGTAATTGAATTTTGAGCGTAAATTATTTTTTCTTGATTTTTAAAACTTTCATAGAATCATGACAATAAAAGAAACTAACTACATTGCAAATTGATATCAAGGCAAAACGTGCAAAAGTATCAGCTTTATCATTCTTCATTTTTTTTTTTTTTTTCACATCAGCGTATACATAAGGAAAACATACGACAACCATCACAAGTGAACCTCTGGTCCACTGTGACAAATTAATAATCTCAAGGTAGCTATCATGGTGCTACCAAACGATAAGTGGCACAATAATAAACACGCTTAACTTAATCCATATTCGATAATCAATCAATCAAGCTCCAGTCATAGGAAGTACAGTACCGAATAACAGAGGGGAATAACATATTAGTTTCTGAAAGTAAACTTTTAACAGAAATACAGTATTTATACTATGTAGGTGATCCGCTGATTAATTAAAAATCTAATATTAACTGAAAAAAAAAAAACTTAGAAAAAACTATACATGAGAAAATGGCCCCCGTTGCAGAGAATATAATTGCATCATCGAAAATAAATTTTAAAACGAAGAAACTCATCTTTCAGCCAAAAAAATCGTCACGGATCGAAAATATACACCAAATACAGTAAAACCGAACGCCCGCAATCGGATTCAAAGATCTAAAAGAAACTTTCTAAAATACTGACAACTATTGCAGCCAAAATTTATGATATGGATAAACGAAATGCAAAGAAAAGAACCAGATAGAAAAACAAATGAATTGAATCCGACTAGGGAACGCACTCCAAAAATTAATAAATGAATAGAAGAGCTGAAGATGAGAAGAAGACCAGATCGTCAAAAGAAAACTGCGACTTTTTCACTGCTGTTCAGTTCTTTGTTTCGGCGATCGCTCGAGCGTGAGGCTCCTAAGAAATCGAGAAATGAAACTAGAGGGCCGGTGGAGAGCGCAGCAGGAACAGACATATAGTTTTTAACAAAATTGTCCTGGCCATTTCTATGAAAAAAGGATTATATATTTTATTTATGCCCCCCTGTATACCGTCAAAATTGCATTAAGTTCCATCCGTCCTTATTCGACAAGAAATACAAATTTACCCTTGATAAATTTATATTTCGGCAAATAGGACCTAATGAAATTATAGATGTAGAAAATATAAAAGTCTTGACCCTCATAAATCATTTGACCCTCATAAATCATTTGAATTTAACTAGAATAAGAAATTTTTGAAATTGGAATTCAAAATATACAAGTCTTAAAGAATTATGCTCTTGCTTGTTGATATAGGAGACTATTTTTGTGAGTTGATAAATCAGAGTTGACGAGTTTTTCACGTCTTTAAGCCCAATAAATGTAGAATCAAAGTGAATGTTCTTGTGAAGTGATGATGATTAACCCCACTAAGATTTTAGTGAAGGTATATGCAGTTTGACTAGCAACAGGAACATATTAAACATGTTAGATAAAACTAGTAATGTATTATGTAATGACATGGTCATCGAACTCCATATTTTTGTTCAGCCATGTAATAATGGGTTAGTGATAATGTTAGTTGTGCATACATTATTGCATGATCATATGATAAGAGGATGAGGTATATGTTGCGAATCTGATTTCAAGGAATAGAATTTTGACGATAGCAAACACTTCTGTTTCTCTACGACTACCTTGTCTATTAACATTTCAGGTCCACAAGATCAAACTGCAATTTGAATCATCTCAAGATTAGGTAAACTAGGTCTAAGTCAGTTTGTAATCTTTTCCTTTTCTTGAGTCAATTATAAACGATGTGGTTCATGATGCTAAGTAACCTTACACACACACTTAGGAGAAATTTTCTAACTGTTTTAGAGTTTTCTGTTTTTGCTCACATCGTCCGGGATGATCCAAAAAATTAGCCTAGACGATTAGTTAAAAACAAAAATCCTAATTAGGGCATCCTGGTTAAGGCAGCCATCATTAAGCGCATCGTCCTGGACTATATTCGTACCGGCTAGGATGATAGGCTCAAATCAGAAAGAATCAGCCGCTAGATCTATTTAGGTAGCTTTTATTTTTTGGGCATTATCTTGGACAATGCAATGCAATTATGCATACATTAATCTGGTAATTAAGGAAAGCAATTAAGGTTTGATTGCTATATCATATCATCCTAGACGATCACAGGATCGGCCGAAATGATCAGTTCAAAAACTTTAGTTGTTCCTGGACGATCAAACATCGACCAACTTCTATTTAGGGCGATATTCAACGATTTGTACTAATCGTACAGGATGATATACTATCGGCTTAGATGATATGAACAAAAATCTTATGATCGTCCCAAATCGTCCTGGCTGATTGAGCTAAATTTGTACTGATCGTACAGGATGATATTTATATCGTCCTGGACGATAAAGTCGGTTTGTTGTAATTAAGAGCTATTATGAAGCTCTTCTATTTAAGACCTTTAGTTCTACCTGAGAGATCATCTTTTACTGATGTTCTCACATGAGAGAGCCAAGAGGAGAGGAGAGCAAGGGAGAGAGAGAGAAGATCTTGTGAGGGGGAGTTTGTGAGGGGTTTCACAAAGGTTGCTCTAAGAAAAGATCAGTCATCGTCCCTAGTTCCTTGGGAGTTCTAGAGAGGTTTACTTCAATATTTGATCGAGGTTCTCTGCCTACTTCAGGAGGAAGCAGAAGGAGTTGGGTTCTCTACCTGCTTCTGGAGGAAGCAAAAGGAGTTGGATTCTCTGCCTACTTCTAGAGGAAGCAAAAGGAGTTTGGTTCTCTACCTCACCGGGGTCGGTGAAAAGGAGATTTGTAAAGGCTTCTCTGCCTTGTTGTGGGGGCAAAAGGAGAGACATTGTCTTTAGTGCAATACTCGGATGGCACCTCCGATGAGTGGACGTAGGTCGAGTTGATCGAACCATTATAAATTTTTGTGTTCTTTATTACTGCTTCCGCATTTAATTTCCATACTTTGATTTCTGTGGTGAATCTTGATTTTGGTTTAAGATTGTGCTTTTGCTTAAATATTTTTTAAAAAATACCAATTCACCCCCCCCCCCCCCCCCCCCCCTTCTTCTCCACCCCCCCCACACTTGGTTAGCCTTGGGACTAGTTCATTAGGGCTTAACATCCCTGTCTAACTTTCAGTATAATGTTACAAAGTTCATTTGAAAGATGAAGAAGATGAGAAAAATCTGAAGTAATAATCATAGGTGCCCAATACTTTAACGATCAACATAAAAAGGTTGAAACTTTTCCTTTTTATAGACTCGTCATTGATGTATCAACCCCCATATCTTCATTAGTTGGTGTACTTCCCCACTATGTACCTACCATCAAAATATAGTTATTGTAAATTTTCCTAAAAAATTAGAAAAAATGTCTATTATCTAAAAAAAATGTTATATCAAGTAATTGATCAATGGTTATTTAATCACTATCCTGATCAACATGAAAATAGTAAGCCCATAGTTTAAAGTATGTCTTATATAATGAGCAATTCTTTAGCGACAGTATGGGTGTCCAACTAAAATTAATAAACTTGATTCTCATAATATTTTATGTTTTTCCATATAAGAGTATAATATTAGAGAGATCTAATAACTACATAATATAACATGGTTCTTCTACTAGAACAACTTAGACCTAACATAAGATGGCATGAGGATAAGTTAGATATCATTAAGATTGAGGTGGTGTAAGAGATTGGGAAGATATTTTGAATAAAAAAAAATATAAAGCTTATAAAAAGTTCTAGTAACTTAATATCTAAAAAGAAAGTATGAGATATAAGATTTTTCTTAAAATAATGATGTAACAGCCCAAACTTTTTACAACCGAGATATTATCTGCTTTGGCATAATAACCTCAAGATTTTATCACATTGGTGTAACTTCCCAGACGAACACTCATTCTAAGAGTGTTCCTATACGAGCAAGCTTGACCTTGGAGTTTGTAATGAAATTCTAATCATTATATGATACCTTGATGTTTAAGAGTTTGACTTTATTTTATTCAAGGGCTTCATAATCTCTCCAACCAAGATAATTGATATCCTTATCAGCTTCCTTATCTTAGAATCATGCATCCACCATGTAAATATGATTATAAGGGGACAGCTTCCATCTTCCAATGGGTTTGTTGCTCTAATATCATTTATAACAGTCCACTTCAACCTAATGGCCTCACCATTTTGTCCCCTTAGTGTAACTTCCAAGATGTTATCTCATCCTAAGAGTGCTCCTATACAAGCACATTTAACTTTGTTATTTATAATAAAAATTCAATCGTTACACTAAAAGATGTCTCAATGTTTAAGATTTTAGTTTTATTTTCTTAAGGTTTCACAAATGTGATCTAATAGTGAAAATAAGATTGATGATAGCACATTGAGAATTATTGGTTATAATAATAGCATTAGTGTCTACAAGATGGCATATAATAATATACTTGGTTGAGTAAAAGGGTATATCAATCTCAAATGTTCTCAAACCTTAATTCAATAAAAAGTAAAAATAGACAGTTTATTTTATTAATCAAAATATGAAGTACATGATTAAGGGTGGGTTACAAATATTTTAGTTTGAGAGAATATATTTAAGAGCATGATCATAGAGTATACATTTTGGTTTGATTTGGTAGAAGATAATATTATGGTAGGTTTTAGATGCAGATCTTATGTAAAAATTACTAGTTATATTGGCCAAGAAATTAACAAGCTAAAAATAAAATTGTCAACTATGAAATAAGCTGGTAAGGTGAGGTAGAAATGAACTTGGATGTTGACACAATTATAAGGAAGGGATGATTTAGAAATGGAAGCAAGGAGGTTGTGGGTAGGCTACTTATAGGTTTAGAACTCATATGTAAGAGATGGATTAACATGTAGATTTTATAGCATGTACTTCATAAGCATAATATTAGCATGGAAAATAATAAATAGATGATGATGAATTATAAGGTAATGTCTATACTCTTTGTCTTCATTGAAAGTTGTCAAATAGATTGTAATAGAAGATTAATTGTTACCATTAAATATACTATATAGACCCATAAGATAAATGCACAAAGATTATTAATTTTGTTATAGATTTAATTTGAATAGCTCAAAAAAATGATAAAATAAGATTTCCTTAAATTATACGATTGATATCTCCCATAAAACAAGCTCATTAGTTAATTAATGTAACACATCAAGGTGTTTATAAACTACATCCTAACACCTGCCTAATATAATATTTTGTATCCAATAATTATTATATGTTTAAATGTCCAAAGTTAGTTGAGAAGATGGTCAAAAACTAGTTAAAGCTTGTTGCAATGAGGTTAAAAGTTAGTTGGAAAGGTGGGTGAAAAAATGTTAAATGAATTCCTCATCCAAGCTTCATGTGGCCAGCCTCAAGTTCAAATCCAAGGTGGTTATGTAATTTAAAAGCTTCATTTTAAAGCATTCTACACAAGTTTAGTTTCTTTCTATATTTTTCAAGGAAGGTCGCAATAGAAAAATTCATACAAAGATGGCTAACCCCTCATATCTCTCTCTTGATTTTTAATTCAAGTTTTCTTATTTTGAGATTGAAATATTATGTACATTATAAAAAGGCCTTTATTAAAAGAATTAAAATACCTTTAGAAGTATCTTTGAAGCACTCGATTTGTGTTTGGTGGTTGAATTGTACTAATTTCGTTGTATGAAATTTTTGTCTACTTATATCTCTAACCGTAATACCATTGATATCCCACCTCCTTCCACAACAAACAAAAATCCCTAATAACTATCAAAGTTCACAACCTTTCTAAATAATTATAAGCCCTAGTCATATAACTCTTCTACAACCTAAGGATGGATTTGATTTTTAATCAAATTAAGAGTTTGATAATGAATTTTGATTTTTTTTTTAATTTATCATAAATAACTTAAAAATATGCATAAAATTCATAATATAAAAGAACTAAATATTAAATTTTAATTTATAGTTTTAAGATGAAGAAGCTAG